ATTACTCGACGGACGAGGGCAAGCGACTGCGCGGGATGCGGAAGTCAGGGGGCCCGCGGCGCCGCCGAACATGGACTCGCTGCTGCAGAAGGAGCAGACCTTCGTGGACAACGCTTTCAAAGCTCGGGCAAGTGCGCCGGTCGACGCTCCTCGCGTCAAGATCGCCGCGAAGCGGGAGTTGGAGTCTCCCGAGACAAAGAAGTCCAGGACCTCGGCTGCCTCCTCGGGCGCGCTCGACATATAGACAGTTCCCCTTCCCCCGCTAAGCGGCAAGCGGCCGCGGACTCTTCGTCGTCTGCCACCGCCGTCCCAGCCCGCAACGGGCTCGATATCGAACTCTCGCAGATGCTGGGCGAGGCTGGCGCGGGGCCCGACGATCAGGGGGGGGGGGGCGGGCGCGGCGGCCTTCCTCGGGGGACTCAGTGAGCGAGCGGTCGCGCTCACGCTCGAGTAGAGCGACGGCTGAGCAGGCGGCGCCGTCGGCTCGGGCTCGGACGGGGGGGGCGATGCCACCGAGTCCTAGATGGGCCTTCGGCGTTCCTGACCAGCTCGCCCATGAACACATTATAACAAGTTGGTTTCTGGATCCCCACGCGCCCTTGCATTTGCATTGTGGTTGTCTTCAGCTGAAACGCGTCGCCCAATCGAATTTGCCTCCCTGTTGCGTCGTCGCGGTCGTCGTTGCCATCGTCGTCATCGTCGCCGCCGGCGCCGTCGCCGCGCCTGTCGCTGCCCCCCTCCGTGCCTCGCTCTCCTCCGTCCCACTTGTTGGCGCCCCCTTCGGCATGTTCGAGCCTGCCGCCGTCGCAGCCATTGCGATCAATTCTGCCTCGCTTCCCTTCGCCCTCGCCGACCCGCGCGCCATGGTCGGCGTCGTCGAGGGCCCCGCGGCCGTCGCGCCTGCCCAGGTCTCGGGCGGACCGTCGCCCCGCCCGCGCGAGGGCAAGCCGCTGTGGTCGTCCTCGAAGGTCACGCAATCAAGAAGACGCAGATGAAGGGGGGGTCTGGCTTCGCGCTGACGTCTGCCAGGACGCGCAAGAAGCCGTCCGCAGCTACGAACGGAGCGCGGCCGCCACCCCCCCCCTTCCCCGCCCGCGAGCGCGCGCGCCCGTTTGGGGGGAACGCTGGAACGCTGGCGCGGGAGGGAAGGGGGTGAGAAGGGGGCTGGTGCGCACGCGCACGCGCACGCGCACTTGCGCGCGTGCGTGCGTGCGTGCGTGCGTGCGCGTGTGTGAATGTGTGTGAATGTGTGTGACTGTGAATGCGAATGTGAATGTGAATGTGAATGTGAATGTGAATGTGAACGTGAACGTGAATGTGAATGTGAATGTGAATGTGAATGTGTGTGTGTGTGTGTGCGTGCGTGCGAGCGTGCGTGCGCGCGTGCGTTCGCGCGCGCGTGCGTGCGCGGGGGTCCGCGGGGCGCGCGCGCACGGCGAGGGCGTTCGGGTTCCCGCGAAGGCCTGCCGCACGTGCCGCCCGACCAGATCACCGCGCCGAAGGCGCGTCCCATCCGCGCCGCCGCCGAGGGCAAAGTGTAGCTGGAGCGGTTGCTGCGCATGCCCTGGCGCATCGGCCACTCTGACAAACCAACCGCGCGCGTGCGCTGCAACGCGGGGCAGCTCGAGCCCCTGCGCGCCCGCCCTTGCACTGGGGGGGTCAGGATGCGCTGCCGCTCGAAGGGTGGAACGACCCCCGCAAAGGGTCACACGCGTTCTCCGTGCAGGGCGCGCACTTCACGCCGAGGAGGCAAGCCGCCATTCCTGACGCTGCTGCCCGGGGCGCCCCAGCCAAAGTCGCGCCCTCCATTGTCGAGAACGTGTCGGGCAAGGCTGTGGAGCGCATGCGTGGCGACTGGAGGACTTCGCTTGCTGGGCACGCGGTGCCCAAGCTGGGCCGCATCTGCAGGGCGCGCCTCCTCACCTTTTGCCCTGCGGGGGCGCGTCGTCGGGAAACTGGCCAACTGCCAGCGGCGCTCGGGCTCGCATTGCCCCATCGGCGGCCTGAGATAGATCCTCCCAACTATTCGGTCCGCATCCTGCAGCGCGCGACGAGAACGTCAGGTGGCGCCAGCAGTGGAGAACGGAGTGGCGGCTGTCTGGCAGGGAAATCTTGAGGGCGCAACCTGGCACCGCGGTTGGACGGCCTGGCCGGAATCCAAAATCACGGCGCAACATGGAAATCAACACGCAAAAGCCCCACGGCACAACACAGGTTGAAATAGACGGTGCCAGGCCCATGGGCGATCGGCGAACAATTGCATTCAGAAGTGTCTTGAGCGCGTGACCTGCGCGCCCCGAGAAGGGCGCCCGATCCAGTCGCAGATCACCCAGAAGCAACTCGACCACAGCCCCCAAGACTGTCGGCGACACTTGACAGGACTGACAATTTACCCCCCCTGCGACCGCTTTGACCACCGTGCCGTTGTCCGCGCGGGCCCGCGCGGGTAACTCTCGAAACCTGCCCGGGGCCTGTTGCAGTCGCGCCGCAAGCCGCGGGGCGGCATGCAACTCGGCCCGTCCTGACACACTTGGGGCCCCCCGCGGAAGTCGCCAGCTGGCTGGGGGTGCCGAACACCCCTCAGCGCGCGAGCGCCCGTCCCGAAACATCCCAAGGACCGCGCGCGCCTTAGACGGAGGCCCTCCCAACAGGGCGCTCGTCGATCAAGAAAGCTTTTTCTTTCAGCGTCCAGCGGCGAGAGAGGCGACAACGCTCCCCCGCGCGCGACCGCGAAAACGCGGAATTAGAAGGAGGAAGAGGAGGAGGAGGAGGAGGAGGAGGAGGAGGAGGAGGAGGAGGAGGAGGAGGAGGAGGAGGAGGAGGAGGAGCAGGAGGAGGAGGAGAAGGAGGAGGGCGGCCGGCGCACCCAACCGCCGGCGGCATAGCCGCGCTATGCCCGCCCCGCAGCGCCGCCGGCCCCTGACGTGGCCCCCTGGGAGAGGCGGGCGAGGACGCGCTCCCGGAGAGCGGCCAGGCGCTCGCCCGCGGGCGGCGCGGAAGACGGCCGCGCCGCGGCCGCCCGCGCGGCGCAGATGGCCAGCGTGGCCGCGCCAGCAGCGGCCGCCCGCGCAGCAGAAGCCGCGCGAGCCGCAGCAGCACGCTCCGCGCGCCGCGCGCCCAGCGCGCGCGGGCGGCCGGCAGCCGCGACCGCGGCAAGCGGCTGCGCGGCGGGCTGGGGCAACGCCGCCGCGGGCAGCCGTGGCGCCGGCGGTGCGCGCCGCGGCTGGGCGTCTGCCTGGGCCAGCACCCGCGGGCGCCGCACGGCGGCCGCGCCCCGCGCTGCAACGCGCCGGATGGAGCCGCCAGGCCCTGCCAGCTACCAGCTCGCGGACGCGGTGGTTGGCGGCATGGGCGGGGATGGGGCACGCCAGTTAAAGGCCTCCTCCTCCGCCTCCGCCTACCCCTCCTCCTCTTCTTCCTAATCCTCCTCCTCCGCCTCCTCCTCCTCCTCCTCGTTCCTCCTCGCTCCTCCTCCTCCTCCTCCTCCTCCTCCTCCGCCTCCTCCTCCTCGCTCCTCCTCGCTCCTCTCCTCCTCCTCCTCCTCCTCCTCCTCCTCCTCCTCCTCCTCCTCCTCCTCCTCCTCCTCCTTCCTCCTTCTCCTCCTCCTCCTCGAGGCGCGACCGCGAGGCGCGAGGGAGCACTACGAGGTCGCCCCGGCGCCATCGCGACATGCGCGGCGCGCGGCGACCGTCGCGTCCTCGCGACGGTTGCCCCCCGGACACGGGGCAGCGCCGTCCGCCTTCGCGCCCCCGCGGGCGGCGTCTGCTCCGCCGCCGCGCCCTGTCTTGGGCACGAGCGCTGGATGTCGTCCTTCTCTTAGGCGAGCCGCTGGGCCTACAGACGCGTGGCGTCGACCCCATACGGTGGGGCATTGGATAAGGAATCCCTCGATAAGGAATCCAGGGTCTGGAAGCCAGTGGAACTCCAATCGAGGCTTGGTCATGGATATCACCGCCGCCCTCATCAGATAAGGAACTCCCCAGGGTCTGAAGCCTCTCGCGCGCGTTCCTTAACCAACGCCCCCACCGTACCGTCCTGGGACTCCCCTCGCCCGTCCATCCGCCACGTCGCGCCCGTGGTGGGCGGTGTGCCTGGGGGGAGCCCCGGAAACCCAGGCGTGCAACCCCGACTCCGCTCCTGCGCTCCCCTCCCACCTACACCTCAGGCTACACTTCGCCTCGCAGGCAGCCTCTTGGCGAAGAGCACCCTAGAAGGGCGATCCTGACGAACAAGCTGTAATCTGATATCGTCGTGCCGCAAGAGAGCATATTCTCTTACTCCCGCAATCGTAGACACTTCGACATGTTTACATGCGTATGCGCGCGGCAGCCCTCCTTCTGTGAGACGAAGACAGGATCAGGACAAATCCAGACGAGGGCAGCTCGGGAATCTGAGAGCCAGCTGGTCCGGACGATGCATCGGGCGTCGCGACCGCTCCAGAACGCTCCGGAACGCTCCGAGAGCCTTTTGGGAGACCCAAAGGGGGGTCCAGCTGAAAGGAGGTGGTGCAATAGATTTGGGGCAATTGGATTGCAAATGCATTGCGCCAGAGATTGTATTGCATCGTATTGCAAGCAATGCGCTGCACGCGAAGATACAGCAATACATCTGCGCCCCGAAATGTATTGCACGCCCCAAATATCTTGCAACCCCACAGATCTATTGCACCAAATCTATGGCACCACCCCCTTGTCGCTGGACCCCCTCTTGGGTCAACCCGAAACACTCCGGTGCGCTCTGGAGCGATCCCTCGCATCCGCCGATCCGATTTTGTTGCATCCGCGGCCCCGCAGGTCCCGGCCGCCTCCCCTGGCGGGCGCTTTCGTCCTGGATCGATGTTTGATGCTCCTCTGGGGCCCGAAGACGGCATCTCAGGGCCGCAATCGAGGAAAACGCGCCGGTTGAAAAAAATAGATCGTCGGAGATCTGGGATGTGTGGCCTCAGCCCAGGCCTGCCCGACTCTTGCTCCCTGGCCTCTCCGCGGCCCTCCCTGGGGAGTCTCCAGCTGCTGCGGCGCGGCGGCGCTGGGCTGCTGCTGCTTCAGCGCCAGGGGGCCTGCCAGGAAGACGAGCACGACCACCAGCGACCTTGGCGAACCAGCACCGATGGCGGGACGCAAACTTGCCTGAGATCCGGGCGTTGCATCTTGTCACGCCTGCCGCTTTCACCCAGCCTCGGGCCCCGGGCCAACACAGATCGATCTGGCCAGAAACATGTAGCATACAAATGGGGTCTGGGGCTCCAGCCTATCCCAGGGTCGGAGTGCATCTGCAGGGCGTGCTGCTGTGCAATGACAGGCCTAGCGCACCCGAGATGGGTACGGAAAACTCGTCGAGATGCCCAACAACGCATACTGCCCCAAACCGACAGATACCGCAATTGGGCAGGATTCTGGTGTTGTTTCCGACTTGTCAGCGTCCACAGTAGTACCGATAACGAATCCTGTTTCAAACGGACAGGAAACGGTGTAGGTTGGACATCGTACTCATTTGTCCGTCCCCTTTTCGGTCGCACCGAAAGATGACCGACTAGAAGCTCCGATTGTTTCTCCCGCATCGGAAATCAAAACTAGCAGTGGGCGCAGATCCACTGATCCAGCTTGAACCCTTGACCGTCCATCATGGTTTCCATTACCATTACTCCAGAAGTCCCGACCCCATCCCAGGGTTGGACACTTGTGTGAGTGCCCCGAGGCCGGCCGCTGGACACAAGGAGACCAAGATAGGGGATACAATCATGAAAACATCACAGCGTCGGAAGCGCGGAACGGCTGCGATGCCCCCAGGTCTTCTCACGAATGCCACCCACGCCCCTGCAAAACAGGTGCAGTGCACCTCCTCCTGCCCCCCTGCAATCCCCCAGAGCTTGCAGGAATGCCCAAAATCACCCCTCGCCGCCCACAAGCCTCCGCCGACGACGTCGACGAGGCGCCGACGACCTCGATCATCGATCGCCGACCACGACGGCGGACCGGACCTCGATCCTCGACCATCGACCTCGTTGACGAGAAAAGTTGCTCTGCTTCTGCAAGTCGTGGCGCACACGCCACACATTGGGCGCACGCCGCGATGACGCACGACGGCCGAGGAGACGGCCCAAAAGGGTCCCCAGACAGCCCAGGAGGCGTCCAAGACGGGCCGAGAGTTCCCCAAGGGGAGCCCAAGAGTGGCATGTCGAACTGACAGGTCGAACCCTCCGCCCCAAGAGGGTCCCCGAGACCGCCAGCCTGTGCCCAAGAAGCCTCCAAGAGGCCAGGTCCGTATGCTCGAAAAGGTGGCGACCCCCTCTATTGGTGACCCCCTTTGACTTTGGCATGCCCCCAGGGGTGGAAACTATCCAGGAGCCTGCGGCAAATCCGCTACTCTGCCAGCGAACCACTCTTGTGTACAACCCTTCGGGCACTGCCACGAAGGCCGCCACACGTGGCACCACTCTTCTCCACTTCGAAAGGGGCTTTCATTCGGACTACTTGGGCCGTCGTGGGGCCGTCTTGGAGGTCCCTTGGGGTCCTCTTGGGTCGTTTTGGGCCGTCTCAGGGCCCTCTTGGGGCCATCTTCGTCGTCTAGGAGATCTCTTTTGGGGCAGTCGTGGGGCCGTCTCGGTTCCCTCCGAAGGCCCTCTCAGGCCTGCTCAGAGCTCTCTTGGGGCCGTCCTGGGCCCCCATGACATTCCTCCGAGTGGTGCTTGAGACCTTCAGAGCCGCACGTTGCTGTAAGGCCGTTTGCATGGCGCGCTCTCTACCACCGTCAAGCTCCTGAAACGAGGAACGCGAGATAAGGAACGAAGTCTTCTTTTGTTGGCCCCAGAAGCGCCTGCGAGGACGAGGAGTGCTATAAAAAAGCCATGGCAGGACTTAGGGAACATCGATCCCCCTCCGAACCCAGACTGCTTGTCCTTTCACCGGGGAGACGTAAGACTCGGGTACGGGGGACTCAGCGTGGCCTGACGGGGGCCATCATAAAAATGACGAGACCCAATCTGGAATTTGACACGGGCTCCCGCTGCAGACATCCCACGAAAACGGAACCGTCAAAACCCAGGACTCGCTCGTCAAAAGAAAGTCGGCAAACCCGAGTTCCGGCTTACTCGAGTCTTACGTTTCCCCGATTTCAGCCTCTGGACTCTACCCTAGGTCACATGCCTTGGCGCCTCGCGCCCCGCGCCTCGCGCCGCCTTCGCCCCTCGCGTCCCCGCCCAGGGAAGGCCAGCTCTCCAACGTGGGCCGCGAGCCGAGGTTGTCCTTGCGCCCCCGCGGACGACCCAGCAGGAGAAGGAGGAGAAGGAAGACAGGGGGAGGAGGAGGAGGAGGAGGAGGAGGAGGAGGAGGAGGAGGAGGAGGAGGAGGAGGAGGAGGAGGAGGAGGAGGAGGAGGAGGAGGATAAGGAGGAGGAGGGGGGAGGAGGAGGAGGCGGAGGAGGAGGAGGAGGAGGAGGAGGAGGAGGGGAGGGGGAGGAGGAGGAGGGAGGAGGGAGGAGGAGGAGGAGGAGGAGGAGAAGGAGGAGGAGGCGGAGGAGGAGGAAAGCAGGAGGAGGAGGACAGCGATGGTAAGCTGTAAGTGCACAGTGGCCTTGAGCTGTAAGTGCACAGTGGCGTTTATTTTAGCATTGGATTTTAGCATTGGATTTTAGCATTGGATTTTAGCATTGGATTTTAGCATTGGATTTTCGCATTGGATTTTCGCATTGGATTTTCGCATTGGATTTTAGCATTGGATTTTGGCATTGGACTCTAGAATTGGATTTGACCATTGGATTTTAGCACTGGATCTTAGCATTGGATTTTAGCATTGGATTTTAGCATTGGATTTTAGCATTGGATTTTAGCAGTGGATTCTAGCATTTGATTTTCGCATTGGAGTTCGGTACCGTGCCGGGCGTTCTGCAAGACTTTCAGCGCCATGGATTTCGGCGCGCAAGGATGCGGCGCCGTTAGCATAGGATTTTAGCATTGGATTTTGCATTGGGCTTCTGCATGGGATGTGAGCATTGGATTTGAGCACCAGCGCAGCGGATTTGGGCGCGCAAGGATTCGGCGCCGTTAGCACTAGATTTTCGCATTGGATTTTAGCATTGGATTTTAACATTGGATTTTAGCATTGGATTTAAGCATTGGATTTTAGCATTCGGTTTTAGCATTGGGTTTTAACATTGGATTCTAGCATTTGATTTTAGCATTGGATTTCAGCATTGGATTTTAGCATTGGATTTCAGCATTGGATTTTAGCATTGGATTTTAGCGCTGGCTTTTAGCATTGGCTTTTAGCATTGGCTTTTAGCGTTGGTTTTTGGCATTGGCTTTTAGCATTTGCTTTTAGCATTGGCTTTTAGCATTGGATTCTAGCTTTGGATTTTAGCATTAGACTTTAGCATTGGACTTTAGCATTGGATTTTAGCATTGGATTTTAGCAGTGGATTTTAGCATTGGATTCTAGCATTGGCTTTTAGCATTGGACTCTAGCATTGGCTTTTAGCATTGGCTTTTCGCATTGGCCTTTAGCATTGGCTTTTAGCATTGGCTTTTAGCATTGGCTTTTAGCATTGGCTTTTAGCGTTGGATTTTACCTTGCAGTACCGTGCACCGTGCACTCCATCGAGAACGCAACTGTGCACTTACTGCTGTGCACTTGCGACTTTCGCACTACACACTTACGGTTAACCATGGGAGGACAGCAGGCGGAGGAGGAGGAGGAGTGCCAGACGAACCTGTGGAACGCGCGAGGAGGACCAGCGGATGAGGGCTGCCGTGCCGTTGCGTCTCTGCAGCTCTGGGTGGGCTCGCGCCGCCGCAGAGTGGCCTGGCCTTGGCATGGGGTCTGGCCTGGGCCCAGAGGCGCTCTGAATCATCCTGCCAGCCGAGGGCTCCCCCCCAGGTGGGCCAACGGTGAGCGGCTAGCACTCCCTCCGCTCACTCTCAGCAACGAGCCCTGCATGCCAACCAACACTGCGAGCGAGATCCGGCAGTGCGTTTCGAGGCGCCGCACGCTTCTGCGAGGCTGTGCGTATGGCGCGCTCTGCCAAGGAGCTGGAACACACGCACGCCTGGACTCGAACATGAGAGCGGCGACCCGCTGGGCGCGTGTTCGGAAGGCCGCCGTGCCAAGCTACATCAAACGCTGGAAAGACGTGGGACAAGATGCGCATCGACGTGCGACCACATGTGCGTATACTTCCTGCCCAGGACGGCGACGTTTTGTTCATCCAGCTCCCTGGCTGGTCGGGAGGGCTCCAGAGGTTGCCGCACAGTTCTCCAGAACCCCATGGGGCACAAGGCGTGACCCGACGAATCGCGAGGGAAGTAGAAAAGGTGGAGCGTAACCAGGAGAAGCAGAGAAGGGGGAGAAGGAAAAGGGATAGGGTGGATCGAGGAAGAGGAGGACGAGGGAGAGGAGCAGGATGAGAAGGAGGAGCCCTTATCAGCGAGGACGCTTCACAACTGTCGCTTAGGAAACAGCTGGCCTCGCGGACGCGTGCAGCGAATGTCCAACTTTCAACTGTCTTCCTGTCGGCTCCCAGCATAATATGATACACCAGTCGCTCCTAGATGCGAGAACTTCGCCTCCATCTCCTCCTCCTCCTCCTCCTCCTCCTCCTCCTCCTCCTCCTTCTCCTCACAGGAGGGCCATCCAACAGCGGCTCTCCCTCGACTGCAAGTAAGAGTGACCCTAGGCGAAAGTGACATTTGGAGCGCGGTTTTCGGGCAGCCGCGGGGGAGAGGGGCCATCCCCAAGCGCGCAAGACGTCACTATCGCATCGTTTTCGGCAATCGGGGGACCTCAATGGGCCCTCACCAAAGGTCACTCCGGCGAAGGGTCACTCTTACGTGTAGTCGACTCCCGTCTGGCCCACATCTCAGGGACCTGATCCAGACCCGGGTCAGTCAGACTTTGCAGGATCCTTCAAGATCCTGCAGGATAATGCAGGATACTGTAGAACCCTGCGCCCAGGCCCAGGTCGATGGACCCCTGGTTCTGCAGGATCCTGCAAGATCCGGCGCTCTGACTGACCCCCGTTTGCATTGACTCCCATCCCTTGACTTATTTTGCCCACATCGTACTTAGGGACAACATCCCAGAATTGATTTCGAGCGCCCAGAGAAGTATCGAAACAGTGTCGAACGAGTATCGCCTCCCAGGGCCCGACACTCACGTGAAAACCCTACATCTTCGGGCTTCTCGGTGCTCGAAATTCTTTCTGGCGGTCAAGGCTAAAGCACGTTGGAAAATCATAACATCATAACCCTGGAACTCCGAGAATGTGTCCCCGGCCCATCCCGAGGTCCATCCCGAACTGCGTCCTTAGGGGCGGCTGCAGCAGAGGAGGAAGCCCAGGAGAGGGCAGCATACGCCGGCTTGCCATCGCTCGGACGTCCGTTCCCCGTGCATTTGTCGGTCTCGTGCGTGCTTTCTTTGCTAACTGATCAAGGATGCTCCTCCTCTTCCACGTCCTTCTCCTCCTCCTCGTCCTCCTCCTCCTCCTCCTCCTCCTCCTCCTCCTCGTCCTCGTCCTCCTCCTCCTCCTCCCCCTCCTCGTCCTCGTCCTCGTCCTCGCCCTCGTCCCCGTCCTGGTCCTGGTCCTCGCCGAGAAAACATGCACACGTCCGAGCGATGCCAGGCCAGGGAGGGCCGCCGCCGCCTGACGGGCCCTCCTCCGACCTCCCTCTCAGCGACCTCCTCCTCCTCCTCCTCCTCCTCCTCCTCATCCTCCTATCCTCCTCCTCCTCCTATCCTCCTCGCCTCCTCTCCTCCCTCCTCTCTCCTCCCTCCTACCTCCTCTCTCCTCCCTCCTCCCTCCTCCCCCTCCTGCTCCTCCCCGACTTCGGATCGGCCGTACTCGATACCCTAAGGAGCTCACAAAGGGTGTACGCGCCCAACCACGTACATGAACACGGCCCCCCAATCTGCGAGACTGGCCGCGTGATAGGAACGTTCGCGCCATGCGTGGTCTCGGAACCTGCGTGGATTCATGTTCGTGTACGTCCTGCTTTCGCTCCTGATACCCGTCGTTCGGAAGACGCGTGTTGAAGCATGAAGCAGACAAGGGAGGAGCACTCGATCATTGAAGTAGGAAGGCGCCTGAAGTAGACTGGGACCCGAAAATTCAACAATACCTACCTTCAACGACTGGCGTATACTCTGGCTGATTTTCCGATGTAGAGGCGTACCCGAAATGCACCCCAAATGATGCGAAGAAGAACGGCACACATTCCCGCCTCAGGAAAATGGGGCGGACATTGCGGCAAAGGCATGGCGGACGCAGCGACGGCAAAGTGGGGCGGAAACCTGCATAGAAGGAGTTTGAAAAGTAGGGCGAACATATCCGCCCTACTCACGACATCGCCCAACGTGCGGCAGAACCGAAGTCAGGGCGCAGGGATAATTGTTTGGTGTGTTTGACGACCCCCTGGGGACCTGCCATGGGGTACCGAGGGCCGAAATCGAGGATAGAACGCGGGCCCCTGAGATCCGACGGCGCAAAAAATTGCAACATCGCGAGGAAGCACGACCCCAGAGGTCCGCCGTCGTGATTTTTTCGATACAGGGTCCACGGAAGTCTCGACCCATTCCCTAGGACCGTTTTTTCATCCCGAATCGTTTTTTGACGGTCCCGAGGCCTGGCGACGGCCCCTAGAGGCCAAAAAATGCGAAAAACCTCCGTCTTGATTTTTTCAAGACGTTGGATCTCTGGGACTGGATCCCTATCGACACGAAGCTCCTGCTGCATTGTGCGAGCCGGATCGACCTGCCTCGGCCCCCGGGCCCGAAGGCGGACGAAGCCCACCATCCACCGGATCCGAAGCCTGGGCCCCAGGTCCTCCCAGGACGCGCTGGGCGCGCCCCGCGGGTGCCCCCTCCTCCCCTCCAGGAGGAGGAGGAGGAGGAGGAGGAGGAGGAGGAGGAGGAGGAGGAGAAAGAGGAGGAGGATC